TATAATAGTCTACATTCACTGTGTTGAATTTTATAGAAATCAGATAATTCGATATCTATATCATTTACAATAGACACGACTAGAAATTAAATTCGTACAATTTTGAGAAGACACATATTTATTAGTTTGTTTTGTTTTAATAACGTCCAGTATGAATTAATTTTTTCAAATATGATTATCAATTAAAAACTATTGTAAAAATCATGAACAGAAATGATCTATTATTTTTTCTACGTTCGTCTATTGTTAAAGTACTATTTTATTTCAATCAATCTCATTCTTTTATAATTTCTAGCGAAATAAACAATATTGCCTTTTTTCTTTGTTTTTATCTCTCGAGAATTGCAAATATAATGTGTTGAAAAGTGATATTTTGGGCACCAGACTATCTATTTATTAGATTAGCTAGACAGATATATATAGATATGAAGAAAACAAAAATTATTCATCGGTAAAAATAAACTTTATATAATAATTTGGATCATCTCGTGAATATGAAATTGAATTTTTAAAACAACGATTAAGAAAACTAGATATGCTATTGGCTTTCAATACACTAGCCAGATAAAACAGTCCCAAATCTAAATTGATGTGAATACTACTGACGAATAAATTCAATCGATCACATATATATTTAACTATATTAGATAAATAAGTTTCACATGATATTTCGATAATTACCTTTCTCTCATATATACTATTTATCACCAAACCCATCCAAGCTTAACTGGTGTATTTATCTTTTACCTATTACTAATCGTGAAAAGATGAGGGCATACAAATTAAACAAGATGCATTAAGTGCATCGATATTTTTCTTTTTCTTCCGATTATCAATGACGTAAACTGATAGGCGTTTCTTTGTTTCTATATAATGCTAATGTATATGCAATCATATTTAATAATTTATGATACAGAATGGCTCAACTACAAGTAACCGTTGTCGAAGCAAAAAATATAAAACGAAAAGATTTCTTTAGTGAAAGTGATCCATTTGTTCAAATTTATCTTGATAATAAAAATAACAAACAAAAAACCAAAGTAAAACGTAACACAAAAAATCCTCAATGGGATGAAATTTTAGTTCTGTATGTATTTTCTTTTATTTTCAAAAATATAAAAATTAAATTCTTTCATTTTTATTTAGTAATCATTTAAAAGGACAAGATTTTCTTTATGTCGATATTTGTGATAAAGATCCATTGAAAGATGATATAATTGGTTCAATAAAAATTGATTTATCAGATCTATATGAAACAAGTATTTTCTTATTAAATAAAAATTATATTTAATGTTTATTTATATTCTTTAGATCATATTGATAATTGGTTCACTATACCAGCTAAAGATGGGAAAAAATCTAAAGTTGGAAAGAAATCTAAAGACGGAAAAAAATCCTGTGGTGAACTTCATCTTATTTTTGATTATCAACCACTAAAAGTTTAACATTTGGTTTTTTATAAAATTTATCCATATGTAACAAAGGAAGAGGATGTAAATATTATTGTGTAATAAAATTATATGATTTTTTTTAATTGGTATTGAATAATAATGATGAAAATAACTGACTTATGTAGCGTACTTTCATCCTATGAGTTAAATAAAATCAAGTTCATTCACAAATACTGAAGTAAAAAGAAGAGTCCATACAAAAGGTGAGAATGATATTCTTATCAATGTTCATCTTTTCATTTCAATCATCTCGAAATGTAAAAAGAAGCAAAGTTCATAATCAAAATTGTATTTTTTCAATACTTCTTATAAACGAACTAAACGTTCTGTTGAAAATATGAAAATGAATAATATCAGTTACGTCGAGAAAGTAAAAAAGAAAGAAAGGAAGGAAATAAACTTGCGTAGGACTACATAAATGCTTTGCTTCGCATCACATTAAAAAAACAATATTTTAATTATATGGAAATATTTCAAAGATATCGTTAAAATACAACGAACTTTTATTTACGTATGGCGTCTATTTTAGTTTAATTGGAAATAAATAATCAATGAAGTAAAAAAAAGTGATAAGTTATGGATTTATTTCAGCATTTAACAGTTTTCAATCGAAGTTATTTAGTGACTATATATAATAGAATACGAATGCAATGCTTTGATAAACACATATACACATATCAATACTGATAAATCGAATTTTGGTTATTCTGATTACTAGATTCAATTAATTTTCTATCTATTTCTATACTGTTCTTGATCTGTTAAGATTATGTTACATATTAATTTCAAAAGATAAAGTGCATATTTTTCTATTTAAAAAATTACTTTTTTCAATAATAAATTTTACAATTGGCAAATTTTGCAAAAAAAGTCATTCTATTTCCAGAACAAAATCTACAAAGTTTAAAAGATGAAAACAAACAACTTCCTGAACAATGATCAAAGTGTTAACATTGATTTTCACCCGGATAATCGCTTGATAAATTATATTTTAGCAATAATTATTATATTTTTTATAGAAAAATTTGAATCAGAAAGATCTACGAAGCAGAAGGATATAAACTAGAAATATTTTTAAGCAATTAAGAGAAGAAAAAAGAAAAAAATATCACCTAGAATAGTTATTTATATTGTTGCTTAATTTATACAACTCATTGATAATGAATATCCTTCGTGTTTTATCAAATATATAAAGTGTTCGATAAAACAATTATTAACATGGAAATAGATATTAGGTCTAATTTGCAGAATAGAACTGCTATTTTTTTTAACTGGTAAAATAGAATGAAAGAAAACACTCTTGATTCATTGGTTACAAACTGTCATCATTTAGTATAGTTTTTTCTTTCACTTTTAACAAGTAAATAATTAATGAATATGAGTTATATACAATCTGTTCAGTTAGTTTTCTCACGTATATTAAGTATTTATAGCTTTCAAATTTTATTTGAGCGCATTACGTACACTCTATAAATCTATCTGTACCTTCAGTCTAGATGTATTTCATAGTATTAAACTAATAAATATCAGATAGATATCTGTAGGATATTCATAAAACGTTTATTATAAATATCTCATCGGATACTAATAAAGTTCTTTTCACCAACGTCACTACTTAGTATTAAATTTGAATTTACGTTTTTATTTATTTAAGGTCAAACAGTTGTCTCTTCTCTTACGTATTTATAATATATATATTGCTTGTCAAAACTAGATTATCTTTTATAAATTATTCTTAATAATATTTCAAATACAAACAATCATTATGTCATTATTATATATTAGTGAACAAATTACAATTTATCTTGGTTTATTTCTTCTTATTACAGGTGTCATAGGAAATGGTTTACTTATTTTAACATTTTCAACTGTTCGCACTTATCGTAAAACTCCTTGTACATTTTATTTTCTTATTCGTTCAACTGATAATATTGCTTTCATACTCATTAATCTTATATCTCGCATTGTAAGTGCAGGTTATGAAATTGATCTTACTCGTACATCAGTTCTTTGGTGTAAAATTCGACAATATTTTGTTCTTACTCTTGGTTTTATTTCATTCACTTGTTCATGTTTAGCATCAATTGATCAATTTTTAGCGACCTCAAGAAATGCTAATCTTCGTCGTTTAAGTAATATCAAATGGACATATAGAATTGTAATCGTTGTTCTTATCGTTTGTTGTCTTCATGGAATTCCTGCTATTATATTTGATGATATTTTACCAAATATACAAATATGTGGGATTACTAATGAAAGTTATTCTATTTATATTACAGTATATGTTCTTACCTTTTCTTGTATTGGTCCAATTATAATAATGGTTGTATTTGGATATTTAACTTATCATAATATTCATTCAACACGATTTCTTGCTGAACAACAAGCTGATCGTCAATTGGCACAGATGGTTTTAATGGAGGTTGTACTTGTTGTTATATCAATATCTCCGTATAGTATTAATACTCTTTACAATTTGATTACAAGTGGAATTGTTAAAGATACAAATCGCTTATTAATTGAATCTTTTATATTTACAATTACTAGTCAATTATGCTATTTTTATTATGTCGTATGTTCATTGATTTAATGAATATTTTTTTATATGATTATTTTCTTTTTTTTAGGGAAGTTGTTATATGTTTTTGATTTCATCAAATCGTTTTCGTCGAACAACAAAAGATTGACTATTATTTTGGCGAAAACGAAGTCAAATAAATCCAACTATGCGATTCACTACAAAAGCACAAACATTAGAAAGAATCTAAATAATTTACATGATTTTATGTAGTTACATATTTTCTATAATATATTTATCAGAATCAAATGTTAAAATTGTAAAATATTCTTTTGTACTATCGAAGTATCAGTATCATCATTATTCAAGAATTTAGTTGTCACGATCAGTTTGCGGTAACGAAACATAATGATACAACAATCTGTCTTCAGAAAAAATGAACATGTGTTCAACGCATTTAAAACTTTTTTCAAATACTATTTGAATATTATTTTGATGAGAAAATTTAACAAATGTAAATATGTTTAAATCTCAAATCAAAAAAACAAATAAATCATTTTCAGAAAGAGATTGAACAAACAACATAAAATATATATTAGAATAATAATATACGTCTGGATAAATAAAAAATTAATGAGAAGAAGGAGGATAACTTTGATGAGTCATTTTTTCTAACAATAATGTATGTTTCATACAAAGAAAATCTAGAGTTATGTATTTTCTTTCTATCTATGCAATAAATAACAAAGAAAAGAATGATAACATCGATATCAACAAAGTGAAAGAAAGAAGAGAAGAGAAGAAAAAAAAGATATATGTGGAGTTTACATTGTTTCACTGGTGACTGATAGAACAATGTGAATTTATTATTGATAGCAAAAGTGTATTATTAGATAAAAATGTGGCGTATAATTTAACAGTTTATTTTCTTATGTCTTTTATTAAAAGTCGCTCGTCTACCTTTCTTCAATACATTTATCATATTTTTAGATAAAATGCGAACAACAGTTCGTTGTATGACAACGAAAATGTCTTCAATGATGCAAAATTCAATTAAACCAGAAGGTGATGTCTCATCTGTATTTGCTTCTCTATCAGGTGATGATATGAATAAACCTCTTGAACCTCGATTTGTTCAATTAAAAAAA